ACTAATTAGGTGTAAGCTTACAAAATCATCAAATGTTGTTATTAGTTACTCACATATGTATCCAAAAGCGAACTGTTGTTGGAGAGGGGTATTTGTGTTTAATACACAAACAGCAGTTTGCTTTGTTTTCAAACTGATGCAATTTGGGGTGTATAAGTATTCTAAAGTATGCATTTGTTTTAACGATTTAATCAATGTGTCTCATCATGTACTGTACATTAATACAAATTCACCGCATTGATTGTAAACATATCTTTCGCACAGTGGGAAAAGATGATTTTTAAACTTCACTGAAACTGCGCAGCATTTTTCAAACTTTAAAAAAAAAATTTGTATCTTCTTTGCATGAATTATCTCTCTACATATCAAAAGTAACTGACTAAAAAATATGTTGCCAATCATAATTAATAAAAAATGCTAAACTGTCCACAATTGTTATTACATCTTTATGCACAAATTCTATCTTCATGTGTCTACGACATCACTACTAAAAACTTTTATCCAGCACCATCAGGAATCTTTAAAATTTGTATTACTTGTGTAATATGTGAGTGTGTATACAGGTATAGGTAAGTCTCTAATTTTCGAGTTAATTGACTCAAATTATAGATAGTAAACTGAGAGTTTTATTAAAGCAAGAGTTACTATTTTTCCATTATTTACTATTTTTTATTTAAGCGAGAGTTACTATTTTTTCATGGGAATGATATAATGAGGACACTGGCTCCGAAAAAAATTAATTTTCTAATTTAGTTCATTAACCAAAGAAATAGGAAAAAAAAAACATTTATTGAAAATTCTGAAAGGTTTCAGATTTTAGTGGTCTCTTAAAAGATTGTGTGTGGGATTATGACAAAGCCTCGAGGGCTATCTTCCTAAGGGGCAGGATGCCTTCGTGGAGGACTTTCTAAGGGAAATTGGCTCATATACACGTTACACATGGAGAAAACCAGGATAACGCCCATGCAGCTAGCCCGTTCGCGGGATTCGAAGCACGGGACCGAACTACCAGTGTTCAGCGACTTTACCGCTCGCCCGCTGGTGGGCAGGCCTCTTAAAAGAGTTTGTTCAGGTTTTCTACGCTCTTGCAGAACTCACAGTGTATCAGTCTGCTATTGCATTCCCACCTGCTAACTTTTTTATCTTTTTAGTTTTATTATTAAGAATCGTTTTCTTCTTACTTAGCCCACATACAGTTCAACAACAAATTACAAAGTATTTAAAGACGGCAAGGCTGCATACCGGCATTAAAAAAATTGAATATTTCTAATTAGACATCTTTTGATTTTAACAAAGGTTTATTTAAGTCAATCACATTAAAAAGTTTAAACAAATATTACTAAGAACTTTATTTATTGCTTTTAAATCGTTTAGTTTGTTACTTAATAACATTCCAGATTAAATTTGAAAGTCTCTTAAGCTTTTCTGAATGGCAAGACCCTGGCGGATGGAAGGTAAAAGTATTTTATTTCTAGTCGCGCCAACACGTTGCTTTCATATAGCCGAGTTAGTTAATTAAAACTAACAGATAAATAAATATCTTACATTTTTTCAAATGAAAACAGTCTCGCGTGCTAGGGTTAAAAATGTTTTATTGTTCGATGTTGCCATCCCTAACTTTCAAATTACTGAGTTTGTTAATGAAAATTCATTAAAGTTTTACAAAATGTGAAATAAAAATGATAAAAAAAATTTCGAAATTCAAAATTCGGGTTTCCAGGAACACATGTTCGAGTGGAGGACTACATTATTCAAAATTTGATGGTCTAGGTACTGTCGGTTTTTCACAATGCAAGGAATACATACGTACATTCAGGGTATGACAGTACTAAACTACAGACGGACAGTACATATAAGCATGCAAATTCTTCATTATTTAATTGCTTTAAAAATAATTCAGGGCGAAACAATCTGGTGGCAACAATTTGAAAAGTGATACCCCGTTTATAGGATACATTGCCATTGCAAAATCCCTAATAACTAAGTATAAAATAATGATGTTCATTAAGTGAATATGCGTGTTGTAAATAAAGGTTTTGAACGTATCTCTTCGTTTACTGTGTTATATTTTCGTTCCCAGAATATATCCTGAAAAGATATGGAAAAATAGCAGCTTGAAATTCTAAGAAATCGCCAAACATTGCTGAATCTTCAAATATCGTCAGAATTTACATATTTTTGTTTGCTTACTGCAACATTTCCCCAGCTAGATTTTTATCATTATGTATTTTAATCAGAGTATTGTTATACACTTGTTTCAAAAATATTAATTGGCACAGGTCACGAGGTTTTTTTAAGACTGGTAGAATTTGTTTGTAAACAATATTTGTTTGATATAGCATTATTTTACTTGGAAACAAATATTACTTTCTGAAGTTGTAGCTGAGTTTGAAAAGAACAATGATCAAAATTTTAAAAGCTGTATGATCTAGAAATTTGCAAAGCTGTAAGCGGTTCATGTATCGAATCATCTGAGGTAAAATAATGATTCCTACGAATTGTGAAGTGTAGTTTTGTTTTTAATTTGAATGTATTTCTTTGATTTTTAATGACCATCCACTGCTCAATTTTTTTTCTATTCTCAATTTTTGAAATTCAGAAATAATTTTCGATGTACATGCACTAACCACTTCAGGCTGCTAAAAATACCGTTTTATATTAATTAATAGGTATTAAATTTCATCCTGTTACTTTAATTAATGAAAATGGCCTAGTTTTCTATGGATCTCATATATACATATAATACATGTGACAAGCCTTGATCTTAAATGACAATGTTTTAATTATTTCTCCTTGATCAAATATTCTGTTTTTTCCTGAAAATAATTTTATTTTTCAAAAATTAATATTAAGTTTGTGATCAATGACTATTAAATAGTTAAAATTATAATGTTTCGTTAGTTTCTAAAACAGTATTGAACATGGGTTTCAAAAGATACTTTTTATTAATGTAGGACTACGTTCCTCAATGACGGTTCTAGGGAACAAAAAACTTTTAAGACTCAAAATATGTCTTAGAAGAACGCTTATATCTCAATAGCCTCAAATGCTCTAGTTTCCATTTATGGCTGATTTCATAGTTAAAGAAGCCCATTACAAAACACAAAAAATATGTTGAAAATTTTGAATTGTATAGTCACAGTATAACATCAACTTTAAGCAAAAATACGCAAAATTTTGATGGCGTCACGAGTGCGCCCGCACGACTTATGCCACCGTTCATTTTTATGTTGGAGTACCGTTCATTTTTATGTTGGATAACGGTTGTAGTAGGAAATTACTGTGTTTGTACGAAAATGAATATAAATTGCCGAAAAATAAAGATACAGTAAGCATAAAGCACAAGAGACAAGCAGGAAAATTTACTAAAAGAAGGTGGAAAAAAAAAACGTTTAGGTGTAAGAAGGAAAGAACGTAACAAGCGATATTTTGAAAATAATAATTAGAAAATAAGTTCTATTTAAGTTGTTAGCTTTCAAATAAATCAATGGACATCAACTTATTCTACTGTTTTCAATAATAAATTTTCAACTTTGGGTGTACCTTTATCAGATTACAGGGTAGAGCTTCTTCAATGGTGTCTGTCAAATAAAAGAATAGATCAATGACGTACACAATATTTAAAAATCTTAGGAACACATTCTAAGCATCTAAATCCAGCACCGTTTGGAGAAAATGTAAAAAACAGCTTCTTGTCAATTTTTAGGCCTTTTCGACATGTTATCATATCAATTAATGTAATGCTATTGCATTAAGAAATGTAATCTCTTAAAGCATCCTATGATTTATTTCCTTGGCTTCAAACATATGTCCCTTTTTTTTTCTCCTTCTTTCTCATCGTTATTCAACCTCTTTTTGAAGTAAATAAATTTTAAAAAAATGTGCTTGTGTTAAAATAATATAAGTTTCCTTAAAGAAAACACAAAATGGTGTATTGTAATGGTTTTTATTTACATAAATAAAAAAAGTATTATGTTCTAATTTGATTGCAGTAAGAAGGAAAATTATCATTTGCATAAAAGTATTAGTGGCTATTTCGTATTTTGTGCTTTGTAGCATTTTATGATATCTCTGCTGCGACCTCTGATGACTGACAAACATACGTCAAGTATCAAAAACAACAGAAGTGGAAGTTCTTGGATATTTATGGCAATAATCTTGTTTTCTATTCATTGGAATATTCAATAATTTATTCATTGAAACACTGCAAATTCGAAACTGGTTTTCATTTCATCAAAAATTCCAAAGTATTGAAAGCGAAGAATCAAAACAACACATATTCATTCCTTCCCATTTCCACATGAGCGTTTCAGTTTCTGAAATCCATTTTGCTTTCGGGTCGTAGTAGATTTCTTAAACAGACGCCTGCGTTTCAGACTGCATCTTCAGTTAAAAGCACAAGAAATTCACGGGCATGCATACGGTAGACAAAAGATGTAAAGAAAACGACACGATGCGGATGAAAGTTTAAGTTAAAAACACTTCCATTTTGCGGAGAGAAGTAAAAGAAAATTCGAGTTGTCAGCACCTGCTCCGGGGTATGAATATTTCATGAATTCCATTCGATTTCAGGATTTGAGGCGGTTCTAATTTCTTTTCCTCTATTTCACTAGAGGTTAATGTTTTTATAGAGATACCAAGATGGAAACTTCAGGAAATTCGCTCGGAAAACTATATTTGATAAGAGAAATGTTTACGTAAGGAAACCGGTTGTCTAGGAGAGTTTCGATTTTCTTTCTGATTATTGTAATTCGCTAGCTTAGACTGCCGTCTAAAGTTTTCTAAAAAACTAGAAAACTTTTAGACTAACTACTACCTACAGAAAACTCATCTGCAGATTTCGCGACATTTACTTCAGTTATGGCTTAAGCTCAATCTGAATTCTTAAGAATAATATCATAACCACCATACTGTTTGACGCTTTGCGTCGTAAGAACTACTGTTGCCTTGTATTTTAATCATTGTATCAACAGAAACCACTACCACTTGTTATTACTTACTTAAATTTACATTTTATCCCTTTTTTACAGTTAGAGGCTTCATCGTCTTCTTTGCCAAGCCTAAAAATAAAAATTAGTTCAAACGTAAAAAAGAATTTAAATAATTCAAATATAATTCTTTAACATTTATTTTAATAAGTTACGTCTTATGTTGAAACTTTCCTGCACCTGTGATTTTGCCTACTCAATCAGAAAATGTAAATGAAGTGAGTGGAAACAAGGAGAGAGAATGTAAACTTAGGCGAAAGAATTAACAACCTCATCTTGCCGTATTTGAAACTCTTCTGTTTGCTATCCAGTTTAGCGCTATGCTACGCGTTTACGAGCGAGCAAGAAATTGCAGAATAGCACATGTAAGTTGTCAGGGTTTTGCGTTTAACCTCTGACTTGTAAATTTAGAGCATTATTGTCTGTCTAGCCTGAAAAATATAGAAATTGAATTTGTTGATTTCATACTGTAATTTCGATCTGAAAAGAAAACTGATCTTTTAGTTATCCTTCATAGTCTTGTAATTACAAGTGCTCAATAATTTAAAGGTAAAAAAGGCATTCTAAAACAAAGTCATCCCTTTCAGTCCTCGGATTTTATGCTGCAGATAAACTCAAGTCATCATTGGAAAATATTTTCTTCAACAAGTATCCAGGTCTGAACTAAATTCCTCACTTCAACTGGAATTCCTCACTTGTAACTGGGCCTAGAACTAGAAGTCTTATGTTATAGTTTTTTAATAAGATCTGAAGTAGGTATCTCCCATCTGTTTCAGAAAAGGCGGCAGTTATATCAGCTCTCAAAACAAATAAGTCTCCTCCTGATCTTGGTAGGTATGTTGTGTAGCAAAATTCATTTAATTATTTTAATTACTGCTTATCAAAATTTAATTTATTAACTATTCTAAATTTTTGCTACACAACGTGTATTTCTTTTTATTAATTATTTGTACTGATTTGGTTTAATTTTAATCGGGATTCTTGTACGAAAGATCTTTTCACTCATTAGTTGCAAATGCGCTGAAACACACAATGGAATTGGGTAAATTTCCACTTAATAAACTAGATTTTTTTACATTATTTAGGTTTAACTCTTAATATTTAATATCAGTAGAAGCAGAAAAATTAGTTCTTTAATTTGAGACCACTTTCATAATTCTAGTTTGAGCAGATTTTAAGTTATAGCCATTTAATCAATGAAAAACTTCCTAAGTTATTTTGTAACAAAAAGGGGGGATGAAGTTTCGAAAAAGCTTTCTTTGTAACAAAAATTTCGGATTCTTGCCCAACGCGGGAAGCGATTTCCGGCCGGGGAATTTTTGGGGTTTTCATATTGGCCTTTGCACCTGCGGAGGCGTGGCCTTGGTTTGGCGTGAATTTGGGGAAATATTAAGTTCCTTTTTAGTTCAACATTTGAAAAAATAGAAATTCGGCATAGCTTAAAGCGGGAGTTTTCGACAACTGTTTTTTTTTTCACCTTTTCGGGCGTGATTTTAGCCAACGTGGCTGCCCCGTCATATCTAAAACACGAGAATCCGGTACTGGACATTCATTTTTTGTGAACCTCCAGCGAACCGAGGCGAAACAAGTGTAGCAAGCGAGTTCTGCAAGAGCAAGTGGAAGACTCGTGCAAAGAAATGGTGTCAAGAGAGCAAATTATGACTTATGACTTACTTTTTTCTGGTCATTAACTACTAAGAGTTTTTGCCGTAGACGCATAAAGGAAGGCAAAGATATTTCAAATAACTGGTACTAGGGAAGTCCAACACCGTGGGCGAGAAAATTCAGATTGCGTGAGCAGGCACATCTTATATTACGAAAGTAGGGTCATATGAAATTGGCGTGTAGCAAGGCATTAAATTGAAGCATGCAGGCAGGTTCAGTGAGTTGTATGGCAAATGAATGCAATATAGTTAGTAAGAGTGCAGGATAAGCATAGTGAGCATCTAAACTGCGCGAAGACAGTTGAAGTGTGAAGCATAAGAGTTCAAAGTCCTCAGAAGTATGCAGTAGTAGTAGCCGTAAAAAAAGTTCAAAAGGGAGGAATCATACGGTAAAATAAAAATTCATACAAAAGATTTAAAAAAAGAAATAGTAACATAAAATCTGATAAAAATTTTTGATAACATAAGTATAAGACGAACACAATAATAGGATAGAGTCCAATGAGAGTAAAGTAATTTTAAAATAAATTTTAATGGCCCTACAACTCAAGAACCGCCTGCAGCTTCAATAATGCCATGCTACACTGCACAATTTTATGATGAACGCCCCTTTCATAAGAATTAAGATATGCATGCTCACGCAGCTGATTTTCTCGCCCAGGGTGTTGGTACTTCCCTAGTACCATTTATTTGAAAATATCTTTGCCTTGCACTTTAATGCGATCTACTGGCGAAAACTCTTTAGTAGTTAATGACCAGAAAAAAATAAGTCATAAGTCATAATTTGCTCTCTTGACACCTTTTCTTTGCACGAGTCTTCCACTTGCTCTTGCAGAGCTCGCTTGCTACACTTGTTTCGCCTCGGTTCGCTGGAGGTTCACAAAAAAAAAAATGGATGTCTAGTACCGGATTCTCGTGGCCTCGGCCCGAGAAATTTCAGCACCTGTTCGCAAGTGAAGCTTCGTGATGAGATTAGGAGATTTTCTAATTGCTAAAACTTTGTTTGGCTGCTTAATTTCCATCCAACAATTTTTTTCAATGTGTCATCAAAGTACTTCCGAACCTTGGTCTACCCGCTTAGAAAAAATGGCTAAGACTTCGTTTCCAGCGAAAAGTGAAGATCCTCATGTATTGCCATGAATTCCTTGCTCCTCCGAGTTAAAATAACTTTTCATCTTAAACGTTGCTTCTAGAAGAACTTTCATCTTAAACGTTGACTTAGACTCACTTCAGCTTCGATTTCAGCTTCGATATCCTCAGGAAGACTTAAGAGTCTTCCCAAATGGAAGAGTGGTTATCGTCAACTGATTTTTGCTGTGAGTTCTACACTTTTTGAGAGATGTGTTGCCTGCCGTCACCATCATTTACAGAATAGTTCGCGCTGACTTCTTGCTACATGTTAATGCCGCTTGCTGATATTCCAATTCCTGCTTAATTAGTTCCAGCCAAGCAATTTGGAGAAGAGTAAGTTGCCGTCGCCAGTTGCTGTTCTGTTTTCTTTCAGATAAATAACACTTAATTATTATCAATCAATTACTACCTATATTCATTTAAAAATGGTAAAGTCCAGCGTTCTTCACTTATGCTGATTAATTATTAATCAAATCTTTCTTATGTTAATTCAACCTCTGTTTTCTGGCATTTTGGTCAATGTTAGGGTTAGGTTAAGTTAAAAGTTGTTTTACTAAGTAATTTGTTGATTTGAGTAATTTAAAACTGTGCTGTTAATTACCTTACATCCGATCCGGTTGTGTGCAATTAATACTTCTGGTAATTTTCATTAGAATGATTTTCTGCTTAAGAAAAAAGGGAAAAAACAAATGTTTGTACTCCAATGTTTACCCAGTCATCCTAGCATTATTATGTTAAGTGAAATAAATGTCATGATCAAAATAATTTGCTTCTTTAGTTTTGTAAATCTACTTTCCACCCGGTTATCCTAGCGTTATTGTGTTAATTGGAAAATGTGCAATGATTAAGTACTTTGTTTCGAAATCTGAAAGTGTTCTTTAATACGAGTGTAAATAACTAGTGTAAAAAAATGGTTACACTGTCAAGGAAACTTGTTAGTTGCTTTTTTTTGTACTATCTCCCCGGGGAGGATATTTTTCTTTTAACTGATTATAATAGCCTTATCATGCTCTAAGATATTTGACATACTGATGAAATATCACTTTGGTATAATAAAATTCATATTTTCTATTATTGGATAGATTAATAGTATGTTTTATTCCATTTGTTCACGTAATTCACCAGTGCACCCTTTAATTTTGAATTAGGAGTTGTTCGGTTAAAATACACAACATATGTTATAATAAAATTGAGTTAAGTGTGGTTGTGAGGAAATTTAATTATTGTGTTATGTGTCTTTCCTAAAAAGGCACTTAACAAGTACAACCAATATCCTTAACTAGTGTATTTTCAGAATTAATAGAAAGAAACGTCAACAACAGAATAAAATGTTTTCTTGAAAGGAATAACCTCCTGAATCCTGGATAGGAAGAATTTGTAATACATCGCTATACAGATGACCGCATTGCGTATTTTGTAAGTTATAAAGCCTAGTCTTTGATAAGAGGTGTACTACTGTTACCGTTTACATCCATTTTAAGGTAGCTTACATCTGTGTTAAGGAAGCTTACATCTGTGTTTTAAGGAAGCTTACATCGATTTTAAGGAAGTTTATATCGAAATTTAAGGAAGTTTACATCTGTGTTAAGGGCTCATATCATCGAAAAGCTTTCATTGATTGGAATTTGTGGTAACAAACTCCATTGGACTTTATAGGACAATTATTCATAATGCACGATGGAGTAATTCCCAAGCTTTTTATAAAGAATTGCAGATTAGCTTTCTCTGAGAAGCAGTGGCTAATTCCTACTTATTTCCTATCTATGTAAACAATCTTATCGAAATTTTAATATCTAGAGGTGTCAAAGTTCTTATGAATGTGATGATTTGGTTTAATGGAGCAAAGAAACATAACTACTGTACAAAGATTGGATGTATAATTAATTATTTATGCTCTGTATAGGTATATTCTGGTGTTACTGAAATTAATATGACGTTCAATATTTTGACGATGGCCCGTTAGATTCTCTCACTTTGCAACAAAACCCTTGAGCTAAATATATTTTGTAATAGCATTTATAATACTATATTGTCGGAATTTCAGATACCTAAGAGTTAAAATACCCAGGTAACGCTTATGCGAAATCTAGAAAACAGATTTTAGTGTTTTAATTGAACGACACTAATTAAAAGGCTGCCTGGTGTCGAGTGGGGTTGTGAGGGATCAACATGATTACCAATTATAGGATTTTAACTAAGCCTATAAAAATATTATTGTGTCCTCCTTATAATTACATCAAATGTTTTAATTGAAAAATTACAATGTATATAAGATCA